CGCGGACTTGTAAGAAACGAGACCGTCGCTCTACCGTCCAGCCCAAGTGGTTAAGCGTAATATTATTAAAAGGACAATTTATGCATATAATAACAGCATTTCACACTAAAAATACTTGGATATATTGAAATTTGGTAGTGAATTCCAATCTAGGAATCTCCTATGACTAAACTGTACTTTTTAATCAATTTTATGTACTTACTACCTATTATTAAATTATTTAGTACTTACTATAGTAATTAAATATATTATTTTATTTAATATTTAAATTAAATTATAAAATAATAGGTAATAATAAAGTATTGTGTAGGGGGACAGGCAGCCAGTGTATATATACATATTAGGCTTATACCAAGGTCCCACAATGGTGCCACAAAGGTGCCAAATTAAAGACTGGGTGCTGCCAGGGTGGGCCCAAGTGCTGCTGGCGGCCCTGGTCAGGCTGAACTTCCGCGCCCTTATAATCAACATTGTTTAATAACCTTCACAGGGAGTGACAAATGAGGTTCATTTTCTGGCGAAAATGATCCTCATACTCTCTGACCAAACTAAATTCCAAAGGGTAACGAAGGACACTACAGCCGAATTGAAAACAAAGGTAAACAGATTGATCGAAACTGTGAACGCCAAGAAATCCGGACTCCACCTGCCAAAGATTATTAGGGAATACAAACCTGGGTATGTGTATGGAAATGTCAAGACACACAGGCCTGGAAACCCACTTCGGCCAATCATCAGGCCGATGACCCACACCCACGTACAGACTGGCGAAGCGACTCAACGGCTTGCTGACTCCATATGTACCTTGTGCTTTCAGCCTGAAGTCTCCAAAGGAATTTGTTGACTTACTGCGGGGAGCACGGGCCACAGGGATAAGAGCCTCGTTGGACGTAGAATCACTGTTTACCAACGTACCTGTGGATGAAACAATCGGGATGATAGCAGACAGAGTGTATCGTGATCTGGCCTGTACTCCTCTTGACATACTAGAAAACATTCTAAGGAAACTACTCCAAGCTTGTACTAAAGAGGCACCCTTCTTGAGCTCGGATGGGCACATGTATAAGCAAGTAGATGGGGTCGCCATGGGTTCTCCCCTATGTATCCTGTTTGCGAACTTCTACATGGGTACCATCGAACAGAAGGTCTGAGTTGATATGAACTTGAAACCTGCCATATACTGCAGGTATGTTGACGTAATTTTTGCACAGGGACCTGATGTCAGACGTCTGCAGGAGCTGAAGGAGGCATTCAAGCGGAATTCCGTGTTGAGTTTCACTTACGAGATGGAGGAGGATGGGAAGCTGCCCATTCTAGATGTAACAGCCATGGAAAGGAGCGGTTTCCACACTGCAGTCTACACTAAGAAAACAAACATAGGAATGTACCTCAATGCCAACAGTGACTGCCCAGACAAGTACAAGAGTACCTGTCATCTGTACTGTTCCAAGGGAATAGGAGTGTAATGAGAGATTTTGAACTTGGCACTCCACAGGGAGGTGTCCTCAGTCCTACTCTGTTCAATGTGTTAATCAATGGACTTTTAAACTCAGTAACTAGGAGACCCAGCGAACACATCATTAGCTATGCGGATGATATACTGATCCACTCTAATAGGTATACCAACACCCAAAATGTTCTGAACTCTGTATTGCACACATGTCAGGAACTAGGCTTGGTCATCTCAGTAGAGAAAACAAAGATCCTGAACCGACGCCCACCCAGACGAGGTGGGGCCGTTCGCAAAATAAATAAATAAATAAAATAAATGTTTATTTAGGTAAGGTACATACATACAAGAGATTTTACAAAGTTTGTTGGATTAATAGATAGAGCTAGTACATACAATGCCTAAAGCCACTATTACGCAAAGCGTTTCGGGCAGGAAAAACATTAATGACTAAAGCAGTTGCATGAGGCATGATGGCTCTCTGCTCGACTATGTAACCAGATACAAATACCTTGGTCTTGAAGTTCCACTGTACCGCAATGTTGTAGCCAGACTGGGTCGCCAATGTAGAGAGAGGCTCCGTGCTCTCAAGGCTGTGGCAGGTCCAAGCTATGGTGCAAATGTGAGAATTGTCAAAATGATGTATCTTTCATATATTAAGTCTCTGATTGATTATGCTGCACCCATGCTTGCTCTAGTGCCTGAGAGAATGCTTGGAGGGCTGGAAAAGATGCAAAACGAAGCCATGAGGATTATCCTCGGATGCCCCCGTACAACTAAATTACTAAACATGAGGAAGAAACTGAATATTTCATGTGTAAGTGATCGTATCACTGAAATTAATGTTTTAATTGGTATCAAGATGCTTAGGCTAACCCACCCTAACCCCTGCAATGAAGCCCTCCAAGCCTTCTTCCTTGAAGATCAGCATCCCTCCAAATGGATTGCCGTAACTGCCAATGTGCTCAGAATGTATAACTAATGTATAACTTTCATCACCCCTACCAAGAGAGACATCAACAACACTTTCCTGCCCCATGGGAGATAACTCCTTTCCAAATTACTGTACCCCCCTTTCCCAGCCAAGAAGCTGATTAAAGAACAAGCCTTGCTTCGACAAGAAGCAAAGTACAATGCCTTAAGCCAAATTGATATTTTAGTCAGAGAGCGCTCCCTTTCCCAGATTATTTACACTGATGGATCCTTGCATCAGTCCTATGGTGCAGCTGGAAGTGCAGTTGTTGTGACAGGGAGAGATGGTTCCTTCTCCCATGAGTGTGGAGCGCGTCTAAGTAACTGGGCCTCCACTCTTCAAACAGAATTGGTTGCCATAATCCTTGCACTCGAGTGCGTATATGAATCCAAAGTTGACACGCTAATTGTAAGTGACTCCTTGCCATCCTTGACTACCCTCAGTTACCTAAGGCATAACTGTGACGTGCTTATCTCTGAAGCCAGACACAGATATAATGAAATAATCAATGATGGAGTTAGAGTTTGTCTCCTGTGGATTCCTTCCCATATTGGTCTCCTAATGCATGATAGAACTGATGAGTTGGCCAAGACTTTTGCTCGTAAAGAGGGAATTGATTACCAACTTGGACTGCCTTTAAGCAGCCTGAGGGCAGCAATATCCCAGGAACATCAATTAAATTTTGGAGACTTGAGGCAAAGTGAAATTCACACCAGTTACTCCATCTATCATCATTCTATTATGCAGGAAGAACCGCACGTCTATGGGTCATCCAATAATGTTAGCAGACTTCTAGATCTTACCACTGCTAGGCTTAGGCTCGGCTACAAGTACCTTTGGGAATTTGTAACATCTGCTGATGTAGATTTGACTAAATGTAAACTCTGTCAGCAGAACTACTCGCATACTTTGCGTCATTATATAATGGAATGTGAAAAAATCGCGGAATTTAGAGATAACACCATCAATAGTGTCCAAGAAATGTGTAAGTACTTCATTCATAATGATGTGCTGCCCGAAATCTTAGCGAAGTATTCAAAATTTGCTTACTGTAGGTAATGCATGCACATGACTGTAAAGCTGCCGCCCAGTTGGGTGGGTGTGGAGCACATGACTGTAAAGCTGCCGCCCAGTTGGGTGAGTGTGCAGCAAGACTAGTAACTGTGTGACTCACTATAGATGTATAGTGTCTTGTATAGTGACTGTTGTGAGCCTCTTGTTGATCACTTGTGATACAAAGATTATTGATGTATGTATTTGTGTGGGTGATTAGATATGTATGTGTATGTATATATGTATACGTATATATATATTTGTACATGTACGTATGAGAATGTGTACATGTATATATAACATTAATAGTTTTGTAACTCAAAATTCAAATTCAAATGTTTATTCAGGTAAAGTACATACATACAAGGGGTGAAACAAACATTGATGAATTTATAGATAGAGCTAGTACATACAATGCCTAAAGCCACTATTACGCAAAGCGTTTCGGGCAGGAAAAACACTAAAGACTAAAACTTAATACTAATTGAGATTAAAGTATAAAATGTGTTGAGAAAATATAAAAATAAAAAAGGGGGGAACATGGCAGAAAAACAGCAAAAATACAATTTGGTCGACAAACAACATTGTTTAAAAATAACAGACATGGGTTGACATTATAGGGGTAAGGTAGGTTACAGGGAGTTAATTAGGTAGTGCTTAGTTTTTATCTTAAACTGGTTGAGAGAGGTACAGTCTTTAACATGATTGGGAAGGTCATTCCACATTCTGGGTACCTTGATTTGTAGAGCATTTCTAGTTTGATTAAGTCGTACTCTTGGAATACCAAAAAGGTATTTGTTTCTGGTGTGGTGCTCATGGGTTCTGTTACAACCTTCAATGAAGCTTTTAAGGTCAGGATTGGCATTACAGTTCAGCGTTTTATATATATATATATATATATATATATATATATATATATATATATATATATATATATATATATATATATATATATATATACACATGAGAGGATGTGCAGTGACTTAATATCTAACATATTCAGAGATTTGAGTAGGGTACCGAGTACCAAATAGCGTCAAAAATTGTTATTTGCTGAGCTAAACGAACTAGAGGGTTCAGTTCCTGAACCGATTATGTGCCTCTGTAATCCTTTACACCACCGCCCACGGGATGGGTATGGGGTGCATAATAAAGAAAGAAATTGAAATTGAATTATGATAATCATCTTTGTACCTTATATGTAACTCCTTTTTTTGTAACAAAGTTTAAATAAAACAAATATATATGTATATACACAAAAAAATAAGGATGGTAGAAGAAAATATTATAGTGTTCAGTGAGAATCCACAAGATCCTCTGAATACTCTTTATTTTCTTCTCCGAGGCCATGGGTTCCTACAATTCCATCAGAGGTGGTACCCCTATTTATATACATATATATATATATATATATATATATATATATATATATATATATATATATATATATATATATATATATATATATACAATATATACAATATATATATATAATATTATTGTATATATACAATATTTATGTGTACCGAACCGAAGTTATATGAAAGGGTTATGTACGAACCAACTACTTTACCCAACCCGCTGCCCCTCGCGCCCAGGCCAAAAAGTAATCGTTAAGTAATCGTTAACACCGCAGTTTGTGGCCAGTGACGGTAAGTAACACATAAGTAGTGTCCTGGGACATGTTAATAGTTGTGCCACCTTGGGTAGTGAGGGAGCTAATGTGTGTGTGTGTTGAGAGCCATGCCTACTGCAAGCATACCTCTTGTACCACCTCTACCCCCCGTCAGTATTGACGCCACAATAACATTTTGTAACCTCTTGAATTTTGTAACTTGCTTAGCTAAATGAATTATGGGGTTCAGTCCCTGAGCTCATTATGTGCCTCTGTAACCCTTTCCATTACCGCCCACAAGATGGGTATGGGGTGCATAATAAATGAACTACACTTCTTTTTGTCCTACACTTTTATATTTATGATTTGCGATCCAGTTTTAACCAAAATCATCAGGACAAATGTGGGGGCTTTGACAAGCCGCCAGCTTCCTGTCCTCGTCGAGGCCACTAGTGCCCTTAGGTAAATTCAGGTAAATTACGGTTCATGTTCGGCTGGTCTTATAAACGTTTTTAAATATTCTTTTGTGACATGTCACTAAGAATTAAACTTAAGAGCTAACAGAAGCTTAATGTGAATTGGTTGTCACTGAGAACATTTGTAAGACAAACAACATTATGTTGAGAACGTCTTGCCCAACCTTAAGAATTGTGGCTAGGTGCTGCTTTGGAAAATGAACCTTTGTGATATATCTTGATAATTATAGTACTTGTACAGTGAATCTTTGTTATGTATCTTGTAACTGGGTGGGTGTGGAGTTAGTTTAGTTTAGTTCATTTATTATGTACCCCATACCCATCTTGTGGGCGGTAGTGGAAAGGGTTACAGAGGCACATAATGGGCTCAAGGACTGAACCCCACAGTTCATTTAGTTAAGCAAGTTACAATCTTGATGAGCTAGTTACAACATTCAATATAAGTTGTCACACCAACAATGGGTTCGAGATCGACTACAAGTACAATTTCTAAATTAAGAAACTGACATATTTGGAGAGCTAGTGTCACAATTTATATATGTTTGTCCTGCACACTGCCCCCCATCCAGTGGGTAGCGGTGTGGAGCAAGACTAGTAACTGTGTGATTCACCATAGATATAAAGCGCCTTGTATAGTGACTGTTGACTGTGTTGTGAGCCTCGTGTTGAATCACGTGATATACAGTACATATCAATAATCGTTTTATATATATTTGTGTAAATGATTGTATATACATGTGTATGTAACATCAACAATTGTGTAACTAGCTTCACAAGATTGTTACTTGCTTAGCTAAACGAACTAAGGGGTTCCGTTCCTGAACCCATCATATGTCTCTGTAACCATATCCACTGGTGCCCATGGGATGGGTATGGGGTGCATAATAAAGAAATTGAAATTAAATTGTTCTTAACATTAATATCTGCATTTTGCAGTTAATTACAGTACAGTAACTAGGAAAGTCATTCATTGTAAAATCAGGAATTTACTGTGAATGCTACTTAGGCCAAATCCAAAATTTTAATTGTATTGTATAGTACAGTATTTCTGATTCTCCTCACTTTGATTGGTTTATTTAACTGAAGTTGGAGAAGAAAGATGTTTTCTCTATTGATTGTTAAAATAAAACATGGCAAGACTCGCGATAACATTCGGTAAAAAAGATTTCGTAAATACAGTATAGTTTTATGTTGGTTTGGGTGTTGGAATCTTTATTAATTGGTAGTTTAAATCTTGTCCCTATTACCTACATACTTTAACATGACATAACACAATTTAGTGTAAATTGTTGTTTTGAATAATGAGTTTTACTTAGCCTGATACAGTACTGTATTTGACTTTACATAAAAGGACTACACTAAAAAGACTGATATATTAGCTAGGTGTTATTTGCTTAATAACTTAATGTTGGAAACTGCTAAATAAGTACAGTACGAGTACTGTACAGTATACTGTAATGCTGTGTAATCCTTCATGATATATATCGGTAATACTTATTATAAAGTTCTAATATTTTTCAGTTATGTATGCTGCTCGTAGCTTTCTTCGCCCAACTCGGGTGACAAATTGGAAAGTTTTAAAAAAATATTGCTCTGAAGTGCCTTCAACACCGAAGAGAAAAAGACGAACTTTGGCAGTACTGGGGAAGATTAGTGGTGGTGTGGCCGTGGCTGTGCCGATGACTGGTGGGATCTACTATGCTCTCAGTGATGATATTACCAGACGGCAGACCACTGTCACTGTTCAGGGAATTGGAAGATTCTTCAGGTAAAGTGCTTCCCAGTACAGTAACTAATGTATTCGTCAGAAGAGGGAATGGTTTTTCTTTTTAGTCAAGCACACTGTGATCTGTAGTATAGTCTGCTGACAAACAATTGATCCTGGGATTAATTACCAGGTAGGGTGAGACATTGGAGCACATTTCCTTACTCCCAGTGCTTCTGTTAACCAAGCAGTAAATATGTACTTAAGAGTTAGTGTACTATTGTAGAGCACTAAATGGGAAAAGTAGTCTTGGCAAGGTGGCTAGGGGGAGAACTTGATAAGACTTATCAGGGATCCTGTGTCCATCAATGGTAAACCATATTAAACAGATATCTTTAATTATCTTTACTACTATATACATCGGTAAGTTCACAAGATTTAGTTATGCAGTTTTCATTAATTTTTTTTAAATTTGTAGTTTGCCTTTCAATACATTTTCTTGTATGATCCCTATCATTAACTATTTAAAATGTTTAATTTTTGGATTTTCTTAATTGGTCCCCCATCTCAATCATAGCCTCACTGCTCTTTATTTATACTGTATCTTCATACAGTATATTGTTATGGTAATTTAAATACATTGCTCAAGAGTTTTATGGTACATGTTTTATGGACAATGAATTGTTTATTTTCATATACCAAAACATATTTTAACTGTTATTTATAAGGCATGATACCATACTACTGTATAACTTTGAGCTGCTTATGTTACTCTTACTAGCATTCTCTCATGCTCGTCTAGAATTTACACAACTTCAATCAGGCAGGATAACATACAGCACTCGTGCCACAGGATAGCATCCCTACACAGTCATAAAGAGTACTTGGGAGTTATTGTAAATAGTTCATCCAGCACTGGATTTAACAGGCTTACCCTATCAGCCAATTACAACCTGTAATGTACAGTATGTATATTACAGAATGTTCCATACTGTACATTGACTGCCATGTATAGTAGCTGTGGAAAGCAGGAACCAATTACTAAACTAAGTTTATCTTTGCTTTTGAAGTTTTGATGCTCTGGCCCTATCACATACTATATAGTACAGTACTCTGGTTTGCTATACTGTATGTGTCCAATGTCCTAGTTAATGCAGTACATTGGTCATATTGCGTGTCCATTAATTATTCTCGGTCAGTTTTGTCAGTTGTCTCCTGAGTAAAAGTGTCTGAAGGTGAATAGCAGTGGACAGTTCTTTGGCTAGAGTCTTCGTCTGGTTCTGAGCATTGAGTATGCTCTACATTCTGAGCATTGGAGTAGAGTGTGCAAGCAAGTTTTTTCACACACTCGATGCACATTTTTTTTAAGGGAGAAACATGATGAAAAGTTTGCAGTGTACTAAATCAAATATCAAAGCAACAAGGGTCATTTAATTTGATAATATAATTACTTTAATATGAAAGTTTGTTAGTGAAATAAAATAAAAATGACAAATGATTTTATTTTTAGGAAACTTATGTGACTGGAATATGATAAATAAAGAGGGCAAATTATTCACCGCAGGTTTCCCCTCTAAGCCTTATCCATAAAGCAGGCTGGTGTAATTTTAGGTTACCAGTTTGTTTGACATAGTTAATTGTAGACATTAGCAGTTGTCGGCCTTTGCATTTCAACAAGATAGATAACTGTGGATGATAAACAGGAGCAGGTGGTAGGTTAAAGAGGAACACCAGTCATGGACTCACTTGATGAAGAGTTAAATACAATATGTAATAGAATTATCCTTACCAGGTGGTCTTTTTGAGAAATAGACCAATCATTTGATTTGGTTTGCTGAATAAGCGAATAAGCAGAAGAGGGTAGATCATTCTGAGAGGGATACATCTATAGTACTCGTACAACTATTGCACAAATTTTTATAGTAAACCCCAGTTCTGACTCTTAACATGCTGATCCTCATCTTCCTTCAAATCTTGTTTATAATTCATCTTTTGTTAATGGCACTTGAAGGCCAGGTCCCTGTTTTTCAATACAACATTCCCTTAGTGTTTAATAAGAATTCTCAAATCAGGACATTGTGGATTGGTATGACTATTTCACTCGACTACCAGTGGGCAACGTATGGTATTGATGAAGGAAGTGATGAATATGAAGATGCACTATCTAGAGTTCACCAGCGTTCTGCGGAGCGTGTATTAAAAGGCTGTTTGAAGGTGCTGTTTTCTTTTCTCACTTTTTTAGCATTTTGTTGCTAGATGATCTGAAATATATTTTCATATTTGAATACTAAATAGTTATTAAAGTTTGATCATGTGATTTTCTGCTGCTGCTTAGTATTTTTTATAATTTGAGAATAGTGTACTGTACTTCATATGGATGATGAAATAACTGAATTAAAAATGCTATCTTTTACATCCTTTATATTACCATGCATTTTTCCAAATACTGTATTAATGTTTGTAAGGTAAACCACTCAAATGCTCTCTTGGGTAATACCCATATTTTCCTGAGGAGAGGACCAAACACAACCAGGTTTGGCCGACATGCACTCTCCAGTGCATTGGGAATCGTTTCAAATGTTCCCTGCAGGTTATAGTGGAGGATGGAAGACTCTGAAGAATGCTTTCCAGCCTGGAATGACCGGCACAAGACTCATTCATCGACTCTCAAAACCTACTTTGAATGTTACATGGAATTGAGGAGAACATTAAGTATTGCTCTGCTAATTGCTAGTTGGACCTGACCATCACCAGATGTCAGCACTGTCATTATAAACAGAGCAGCAAGGAAGGGCTGGGTTCACAGAAAGGCCTTTGATACTGTAAACCATAACTACCTCCTACTTGAACTTCACTATGGTATCCGAGGCCTTGCTCTGAGCTATATTCGTTCCTATCTCGGTGATAGACACCAGTATGTAGTCATCAATAACATAATCTCTCCAACTCTACCATTAACATTAGGGGTGCCACAGGGCAGCATCATTGGGTCCCTCCTATTTCTTGTATACATCAATGATTTGCCAAGTGTTTCTAACATTATTAAACCTATACTATTTGCTGATGATACAACCTTCATCTATTCTGACTCTAACCCACACACATTAAATAATATTGTATATAATGAATTTAAAAAATCCACTCATGGACGTCAACCAACAAACTTACACTAAACATAGAAAAGACCTACTGTACATTTTATTTGGTAGTAAATCTTAAAATCGAATTCAACTTCAGATAGACAATGTTAATATTAGCAATAAAAATGAGGGAAGGTTTCTTGGCCTATACATAGATAAGAGACTGAAATTCAGCACCCACATATAACACATAGCCAAAAAAAGTCTCAAACGGTCGGCATACTCTCGAAAATCGGATATTATGTTCCCCACTCTGCTCTCCTCTCCTTGTAATACTTGCTAATCTATCGCTATCTTACATATGGTATCTGCATGTGGTTCAACCACTGCAAATTACATCAAGCCCATAATCACTCAGCAAAAATCTGCTATCAGAACTATAACAGACTGTATTTAGACAGCACACAGTCCCTCTGTGTAAGTCCCTTAACGTGCTAAACATACTCCACACATTCTCATGTGCTATTCACATGTACAAAACTTTGTTCCTAAATGCTAATCTTGGTCAGAAACTTTTCTTTGATAAGTGTAATGGAACAAATGAGCACCACACCAGAAATAAATATCTCTTTGATATCCCCAGTCAAACTAAATCTGTGCAAACACTCCATGCAAATAAAATAGGACCCAGTGTATGGAACTCCCTCCTTAATCAATTAAAAAATTGTCCAACCTATGCCTTTTTACAAAAGTAAAACCAAAAAGTACCTAATTTCATTCTCATAGTTTCCTGCCTTGTGCTTCAAACTTGCACTATATCTTGTACTACCCACTGCCCCAATATTAGGTACTTGAGACATATTTCTTCACCAGAGTAATCGTCTTGGTCAATTTATATTGTAGTTATATGTTGATATACATTTTGCTACAATGCACCATTTCATCTTATCTGATATATTAGATTAAGGACCTGCCCGAAATGCTATGGGTGTTAGTGGCTTTGCAAGAATGTAAAAATACCAATCTTATGTATCTCACACACCCATTGTACCTTCTTGTAAAAAAATTAATTATTATTATTGTTTCTTGGTAGAGGTGGTGGTTTGGCCATAGGTGTTAATTGGTGACCAGGCCTGATAACACCTACAGAATGGAAAACGTACCCACTGTGTTGTGACGTACATATTGACATAACATGGCTGTGTCTGGGTCCTGTCTTAGTGAGAGCAGGATATTGCCTATGGTAGCAACAGAGAGGAGCCTAATTAGAAGGAGCATTTCATCATCTTTCAGTTTTGTTGTTTTTTGTTCTGTTCATATTTTCCATTCCTTTCTCGCTTTTATGTGCTTCCTGAGGTCTTAAAGGTTTTCTATCACCACTCTTCCCACACAAATACATACAAACCTAATAGAGAACACTACAGAAGACCTATTGACCCATACAAGGCAGCTCCTATTTATACCCAACCAAACTCGCTTAATATATTCATCTTACACTTGAAAAAATCCAATGATCTCACATCTATTGTTACCCAGTAAGTGTTGAATGCTTCACTAGCCATGACCATACCAGCAGGCAGAATTTTTTGACAGTTGTTTCAACTGCTGCTGCAGGAGTCCTATTAAAATTGAGGGTTTGAAGTATCGGTGGAGGATTCTAATTATAGTTCACTTTATGGTTCCCATAGTCGAAGTTGTTGCCTAACTCCCCTGGGTATTTGTTTACTGATGGGTGAGCAAAGCAAGGTTGGTAAAAAAAAAAAACTAGGCTTTTATCTATTCAATAATAGATAACAAAATTACAAGTTTAGTTTTAAATAGAAATAACTCGGGTGGCCCATATTAAAGCAATTTTTTTTTAACCCATCTGGGTATTTTAAACTAAAAACCTGGTTCATACAGGTTAGTGGGTAGTTACCACATGAACCCCTGGAACAAATTCATCAAGTACAAGGAAACTTTGACCAAAAGCTTCTGCCCTGTTACAGGAATCAAACTTTGGACTTTTCAGCTGTGGCTTGACCACATACAATTGTCACTGAACCCATACTCTCAAGGATGGGAAATTACCAAAGTGAACCATGGCATTAAATATAAGTAAAATATTGTTGGATTTCAAAATAAGAAGAAAGTTTTGAGTATTTAAATATAGGAGCTAGCCACATTTTTTAAAGTCGACACGATGTATTACTTTGGAATCCTAGAAAATAGGATCTTATTTGCATTTTAACACGGTAGTTTCATAAAGACAGACAGGATTGACCGAGTTTGTTTTTCAACAGAATGGAGGCTTGTACGTAAAGCTGGGCCAAGGTTTAGTGTCTATGAACCATGTGCTGCCTACTGAGTATGTCAACACACTCAAGGTGAGTAACTGTATGGTGCTGTTATTTATCTGTACATTTCCATGGTAATGACATGGTATTACCATGGCATTACATGGTAAGCTTCTCTGTGGCTAATCTTGAAGTCTGCATTTATGGGTATATGGTCATATTATTTAGTAAAATTATTCAGTTATCACACTTTGTGTTACCCATCACACAAATGGCAATTTTGATGATTATTACATTTTTCTTTTTGTTAACTTTGACAGTAATAAAATTAAGGCTTTGAGTGTAAATTAAAGTTACATCCTGACCAGACCGCTCAGTAGCCACCTTAGGCAATGTCCTGCTCTCATGAGGATATGACCAAGCTAAACTAGGTCAACAATCCCTTCCTCATGAAATGGAGATATTTTCAAGCACCTGTTATATCTATAATGTACAGGTGTGAACACCTGTACTGTACCATCATCAGAGTAGCGAGGTGTTACTCGCTTCACTTTTGTCCAAACCTGAACTATAAACAGCTCATGGAAAGATAGGAGAGAATGGGAGAAACAGAGCGGCTACTCAGAGAAGATCTTTTCATGTACGCTTGATCTTTTTCTAAACTTGAAATATAACCAAGTTGTTTTTTCAGGCTCTACAAGACAGGTGCCTTAATCGTAGGTGGGACGAGATTGATATGCTCTTCCAAGAAGACTTTGGATGTTCTCACAAAGATATGTTTAGAGAGTTTGATGATGAGCCAGTTGCTGCTGCTAGTTTAGCTCAGGTACAGTACATACATATTGTATTTTAAAAGAGGGCCACATCCTTCTATAATGTTTGATAAATTGATAAATTTGAACACTTGATAAATTGCTATCAGCAAAAAAAAAAAAAAAAAAAAAAAAATAGTGGAAAGAGTGAAACAATATATAAATTAATGAATGGTAGGAAGAGAGCTTGATAGTGAAAGGTGTGTGTGTGTGTGTTTGGGGAACAAGTCTCCTGAAGAACGTTTTGCAACTACTGTACTACCTGGTGGGTAGCTCCTGGAAGAAAGCAAGGCATTGGAGATGACAGAATAAAACTAAATAGTACAGGATACACCTAGAAAATGCAATATCTGCATATAGTTGGTGTGTTTGTACATGCTATTTTAGATGCCGGAGAGCTATTAATTATTATTTCCATAGGTGTTTCGAGCCAGGACACACAGCGGGGAGGAAGTTGCTGTGAAAGTTCAGTACATTGATCTTCAGGATCGCTTCAAGGGAGACATAGCAACCATAGAATTGATATTAGAAATTATACAAATCATGCATCCCAAGTTTTCCCTCAAGTGGGTTATGAAGGTACTGTATTTGGTTACAATTATAGTTTTTCTTGAGTATAGATTTAAAGATGAGAAATTCATGAAGATAGTCAAGTATGTGTTTTCCAAGAGCTAACATACGAGGCATATCTTAATTATTGGTATCTGATTGAATATCGATTACAAAATTTGGAATTTGTTTTCATTTGTTTTTATATTTTAAAAGGTAATTAATTCTAAAATTTTCTTTGATGTTTTGAGCTATTGGTTACCTTAGTAATCTATTATTTATACAGTAATTATGTACATTGTAATAGAGTATTGGTATCATTGTAGGACCTCAAAGGCACCCTGGAACAAGAGTTGGACTTCATTAATGAAGGACACAATGGTGAACGTTGTGCAAAGGATCTCTCAAAATTGTCCTATGTGTATGTTCCAAAGGTTCACTGGGACCTTTGCAGTAAGGTACGTTTTCAGGTGGAAGAAACCTTTTACAGATTTACTTTGAGTTTTTCAATAATATAGAGGTTGTTTACACAGAAATCACACTAACCACTGGACCACCCTGGCTTGGTAAAAGTTATACAGCTGATTTCTACTGAAATCACAGGCAGTCAGATTGATGATCAAACCACACATCAGAAGATGAAGAAACAATGACGTTTCGGTTTGTCCTGGACCATTATCAAGTTGTGAGCAAAAAAGTCCTTTCTTCATCTGCTGATATGTGGTTTGGTCATCATATCTTCGGTCACGTTATTGTGACTCGTCGTCTGCAAGTCGGAGTGGTTCAGTGGTTAGCATCAGCTGCTGGGAGTGTCTCGGTTGCGGTTTCGAATCATCTCGGAACTTCAGTTGATTTTCCTCAGAGGTTGTTTGTTCTTCATGTAGAATAGGTTATGGCAAAGGCAAATTTGTCTGTACACAGGATAACCACTAGAGAAAGAAGAATCGGCAGAAGTTTTAAATTGCTCTCTCCAAAAGCATTTTTAAACAATTTGTAGATGAAATACGCCAGAGAAACTGTAGGGTGGTAATGTATTTCACAAGATGGCTGTAGAATGGACAAATTAGTCAATGTAGTATTTATTTAATATAATGTATGATCACAAGAAGGTAAAATGGGTTGTGAAAGTACATATGTTGGTGATTAACTGGTACGTTATTACAAAGCCACTAACATGCATAATATGGAGTGTGAAAAGCTGTTGCAATGTAAGGAGAGTTGTGTGATCATTCATGAGAATATTGTATGCAGGTTGCAGTTCCTGAAATGTACTGTATGGGAGCTAATGGCATAAGCATTGATGTTAGGTCAGGTGAACTGATCAAACAAGCAGCTTTCCTTTGAACTGTGTAACATTTGTTATTATGGTGACACAAGCACAAGGTATGATAATTTTAGATGCATATTTGATATTGTTTAGTTACAGTGGTTGTTATACGATGTTCATGCTGGAGATGGTGATGTCTGGAAAAATGGTGGTTTGTGGTAAGTCTGTAGTGTTGTTGCAGGTTGTTACCTGGGGTGAGTGCCAATGTTGTGATTTTGGTAGCCTTGTATTCCATCCACCTGATTGTTTTAGAACCAGGTTGCTCGTAAATTGGATGATGGGGAAACTTGCCCGATAAGTTGGATGTTGTTAATATTTTGTGAAATCTCTGGGTATCTTTAAGTAGATGCTATATTATTTCTAATTTAGTTATTTCAATTGTACCAAAGATTTTGTTAGAGGTGCAGCTGATCCAGATGTGACAGCAGAACTAAAGACACAGACAAATTAAACATGAGCTCTGAAGCTGCTGAGAATAAGTGAAATATCCTCAGAATCTGTAATAACTCTTGGCAGTTGCAGAGATGTGAGGTTTTTAGATTAAATATGATTTAATCTTTACACTACACTGTACATTATCTTATGTTTGCTTTGCTTAAGAGTTGATTATGATTGTTGGCTGTGGTCTGGTATATCCAATAAAAATTTTCTGCTCTCCTCTTCTCTCTCCCAAAACATCTTTGCTTAATTGGGAATTTAAATCCAGAAGGCATTTGTCTGTCCATATCTGCTGCTTGTCTGGGTCTTCCTGTAGTTTTGTGCAGCCCTCTTCTGTTTTTAACCTCCCATAAGTTTTGTTTTGTATACAAACATTAACATTTATGATTCTTGCCACTTCCCACCATTCTGACGTCTCCTTTTGCAACATTGTTTCCATATTGTCAAATGTTTTTAAATCCAGTTCAGTGTTGTTCCAGTTACCCCAGCTTGCTTTTCCAATTTTAAATTGACCTTTTACAAGGCTTTTTTGACAACCTAGGAAAATAAAAGCCACACCTTCTTTATACTCGTGTAAAGGAGTGTAAAGGAGGTAGAAGCCACACCTCCTTATCTTGGCATCCATGTAATGGAGCTCATTCAGGTCATCAGGCATGCCTTGTGTGATTTCAGAATTCATGTTGTCTCACTTATGAAGTTAGTTCTATTTAGGTGCTCCACCTTCCTCTTTTTTTTTTTTTATTTGTCTTTTGAATATTTGTCATGGGATGCATATCGATGAGAGCGGTCTTGTACCTTTCTCCTTTCTTGGATGTGGGCACCACATCCAAGTTAGCTACACATAAGGGGCATAACTGGCAATCCCCTCAGTGTTCAAGAGAGAACTGGATAAGCACCTCCAAAGGATACCTGATCAACCAGGCTGTGACTCATACGTCAGGCTGCGAGCAGCCGCGTCCAACAGCCTGGTTGATCAGTCCAGCAACCAGGAGGCCGCGGGGATGCTAAGCCCCGGAAGCACCTCAAGGTAACCTCAAGGTAACCACATTAGCAGTCTTCGAGATTGTAATTGGCTTGAATTTGCCTTAATGTAGTAGGGAAAAACTACATTCTACTATAATTAGACATTTTTATTGCAATTCAAGTTGGCTAAATTTCAAGTTTCCTACAAGAAGATGCTTTAAGATCAGACATAAGAGAATGAGTGAAGGGAAAGATTTGGCAAGGGCTGCAGTAACAGTATCAAGACGGAAACATGAGGAGGAGGAGTACAAAATAGACTAATCTGCATGAAAGTGGAGAGCATTAGATATAAAGTACTGTATTGTGAAGATTAATATTGAATACGAAAGGAGAAGGCAACAGTTTTGAAAAGCAGTCTTGCAGAACAAGAGTTAATAGAGGAGGGGGCAGAAGTTGAGCTGTCTGCATCAGCAGACATGTCTCTTATCAAGAGTAAGTTAGAAATAAGTTGTCAAAGAATAGAAGAAAGGCCTTAGAATGACAGGTTAAAGAGTAAACATTTGTAATATACGATACTGTACTGTAAAAAAGTTTTGGAAGCGTCCACTGCTGTGCCGAGAGGTTTACCATTCTGAAATCGTGAAGCAAAGTGCACTATGAGTGAGTTATGAGCAAAGATCACCATTAGATGGACCTCTCATGGAACCCATATGTGTAAGCAGAGTGAAGATTGCAGTATTTTATTTCTTCAAAAACTTTTTGTAAAGGATGGGTGTAAATTCTATCAAGATATTGTTCAGGGAAATAATGCAATAGTTTGAAAGATTTTAATGGTGATCTTTCTTCAGGTTGGTTGAACACGAGTGTTTCCATGAGAAAGGGAGACTTTTACAAGACAGACAATGGAATAACAGGCAAGCTAATATAAGCACAACTCATAGTTTTTCAGCACTGCTTCTAGTTTCTAGCACAGCTACTATATTCTGGCATGGGCCCCAAGCCTTGTTATAAATCCTTGTTTACCAACTAGCTCCCCACTTGTAATAGTCCTCGGAACAGGCATGACCGAGACTGGGAACCTTGCCCAAGTAATCAACCATGAGCCAACAATGAGGGAAGATATGGGGTGAAAAGAAATGAGAAGGATGTGAAATTTGTCGTGGTATGTGTCGGGGAAAACTATCTGCAGCAATACAAGATTATGTGCATGCAGAAATTAAGGGTTTACCATGTAGCTAGGACAGCATGGTGCATTGACTATTATGCTCAATGTGAAAGCTACTTAAAAGCTTTCCACTACCTAACCAACTGGCTGGTTACATGGTAACCTCCTGTTAACCCTCAAAGACCGGCTGTCGTCAAAACTGTCCTTCGGCTCTGCAAAAAAACTACCCACAATATTCGTTTTTGCACAACAAAAGTAAGGAAAAGGTAACAAAATCACAACTATCTTGAGTCTTTTCTGACTTCATGCATAGTAGTAGGAAGCTATAGGAGTAGTGGTGGGAAGAAGTCTGCGGTCTGCTTACTCGTGATGCTGGAGTGAGGAGACTTTTATGCAAGTTGGAAGGCTTCTATGTTCATTGCTTCACATTAGTTTACACATTATGTTGAATAACTCAATTTAATGTACACTTAATTGACAAAAATAGTGATAGAGTACAGTACTGTATATAGACCCACAATGTAATGTGTACACCTATATTGCACCTGGTACCTATACCTGGCACAGCTCAGAGGAAGTGTCTTGCATCCTACTCCTTTGCTGCTGTTCTGTCTGGAAATGTTGGCCAGTAATAGATTCAAAGACTGGCAGGTAACACCAAATTGTGATTTGATGATAACCAAAGGTAAATAAATACACAATAATATTATCATGTAGTAAGCAATTACAGAATGATATAAAGTTTTCATGGATCTATATTAACCCACGAGGATCCTGGTTGTACAGTCGGGTTCGTTCTCGACGCACAATCGAGAATGCAGGTTCAAATCCCGGACGGGACAGAAATGGTTGGGCACATTTCCTTTCACTTAATGCCTCTGTTCACCTAGCATTGAGTAGGTACTCAAGGGTACTCAGGAAGTTAGCAGGAAGTTAGTTAACAGGAAGTTAGCTAACACTCAGGAGCTAGCCAGCTTGTTGAGGGGTTGTATCCTGGGTGTGGTCAGTAATTTGGCATTGGGGGACCTTGATAAAAGCCTAATGTGTGTGAATACACTCTGGCTTCCTGTCCTCCAACCAAATTAATTAATATTATGAATTAGCTTCATTACACTCAGATTATTATAACTATACTTACACTTTAAAAGAAAAGTGTGTGGTAATCACTAAAATCGGCAAATGGTGATAACAGGAGTCCCAGGGGCTAAATATATGATTATTACTGATATTTGTGTTGATACTTTGTTCAGGGGGTTTCAATTTTTTTTTTCCAAAATTTGTTTGCCAAGATGTCAGTTTCCTGGAAGTTTTCACGTTCTTGAATGAATTGTCATACCGAGACTTCATATCAGCAGTGTAGTTCTAGTATTATAACTACATTCATTTATCCTTATTTTAAACTAATAAACTAATGTATTCAAAATTTATGAATGGCCTATTTAGAAAGTTCTTTGTTAGACTTAGCATCATGGCTATCTTTACAGAGCATTAGTGCCCAACCTTTCAGAAAAAAAGATAATCTGCATTAATTTAATTTTCATGTTTTGGTGTCATTTTTTTCAATCTGATTTCTTTTGCAGCGAGTGTTAACCGCTGAGTATATACATGGGCACAAAGTAAGTGACATAGAAAGCATCAAGAAGGATGGGCTTACCTTGCAGGATGTGGATAATAAACTTATTAATGCATTTGCTGAACAGATATTTCACACTGGATTTGTGCATGCAGATCCACACCCAGGCAATGGTGAGTTTGTTTTGTTAGTGTCATCTTGGAAAACTGAGTATGTTGTTTTGCTGCTCCCAGAGGTGTAAATCTTTGTGCCATTCTAAGGATCCTGACTCTGAAAGTTGTGTGCTTCTCTGCAGGGTCTTGCAAGGTGCTCCAGTCACTAGTGTGTTTAAATCCAACCTCAGAGAGTTCTAGTGATGCCACTCCATGACTCCCCTAACCTAATCCTGTCTTATAAATAATGTGAAGACAGGCTACTGATTCCTCATGGGGACCAAAAGATTTTACTTCTTTGATTAATAGTTTTACAATTCCCTACTCAATAGGGAGAAGGCAGCAGAAAGATGGACCTTTTAAATTGACAAAAAGAACAATGGAACACTAATGGGTATCACTGAAATGTAAAACCATGACTAGGCTGGAACGGTCTCATACCAAGGAATAGTACTCTCCTGGACTCCTCCTGGCAATCATTGAAGAGACTTGAGATACAGGTATTGACTGGGGGATAAGCAAGAAATGCTCATATTGTCTTATACACAGCACTAGCCAGCTAAATTGAGCACAGCCAACGTGCTAATGGTTACCTGATTGTACCAAGGCCAAGTTACCAGAGAATTAATCCTTGCCTTGTCAAAGTATTCCGTAGTGCATACAGAATATATTGCATGTGTGGTCTTTGGATCATGAGGGGATGCTGTCACCTGCTGGTGGTAAGATGAAGTTTGAGTTGTCTTGTCTGGAGTGATGAGACTTTCTCCAATGACTGCCATGTGCTTATATGACCATGCAGGTATGCATTCATCTCGATGGTGCTAGTACTGTATACCTGATTGAGTCTCATCCTTAGAATAACCCACAAAGGATCCATACCTTTGGGAGTGGCAGAATAAGTGTTCTGATATAAAATGTTTTGGGGAGCCTCTCTCCAGAGATCTTTTAGCTTAATTTGAATATGCTGGTTTTAAGCAGAATATGGAGATAATGATTATTCTTGGAAAGGTTTTAGTTTTGTTTAAATATTGCTTTAACTGCTGGGATATTAACAGATCTTAGGAAAATTGTGAAGGTAGAGAGTACAAAGTCTTATATAAATGGCAAATTTTATAAAAAAAATTCTTGTTCTATCTAAATTTTGGTAACATTTAAAGTTTAAATTTGTCTTTGTCATTATTTGATCATTTTGAGGAACAATTATTATTTATTTTTAAAAATGTGTTGAAGATTTGTTTTAAGTGCTACCTTGGAGAAGGATATAATAATTTCTATTATTACTTACATTGAAGATAATAATGTAGCTTTGATATTTGAAATATATATGGTGCATAAAGCAGAGGTTTTGTACGTCTAAGAAATTTTGCAGTTTTGATTCGACGGGATAAGCATGGCAGAGCAGAGATAGTTATACTAGATCACGGCTTGTATCAGTATCTCCCTACTTCAGTGAGGCAGCCACTTTGCCGGCTGTGGAAGGCCATTGTCTTGGGAAATCATAAACATATGCAGGAAAATGCTGCCCAGTTGGGTGTCACAGGTGAGTTGACTTGCAACATTAATTATGAAGGGAATTATTAAATGAAAAAATCACAAGGATTCTATTTATTAATAAAATGTTTTACTTTCAACTGATGTGTAAAGTCTGTGTAAATTTTTATCTTGTATCTCGGAACATTAAATCCAGCTTGGAATAACCAACAGAGGTTTATTCATAAAATTTCCAAGTACTTCTTAAGTGTCTTTTGGGATTCCTGGTGACCAATAAAGGAGGGCTGTACCCACCTGCACTGACTGCCACAAGGTGGCAGCACCATACCCACCTCTGGATTCCATGATCTAAGCCACCGCACATACTTCCTGACTTGTACATTTTAATTGGCAGGAAGAAAACAATAATTTTCACTGTATGGATCTTTGAATTTTGTGCAGACTTTGAACAGACTGTCATATGTAGGTTTTTGACTAGAAAGAGGTGGTCATCACTCCATGGTTTATCTTGGAAGTCTCTCTTTTTTTTGAGGCAGTCATTTCATTTGTGCTTTGTAAGCACTTTCCTACCCCACGGTATCAGGTCTTTGTAGCTCCATGTCCCAGCGCTCAAGTTCCCTTTGGCTTTAGTGCCAGTGGACCATAAGGTGTGCACCTAGTTGGTGGAGGTTTGCTGTTTCTTTAGAGTGCAGGAGATCTATTTGGGGCAGTTGCGAGTTGATCCCAACTCTTGGTCAGTCCCCCTCATCTTCTACCTTGTGGGCTACTGCTGTGGCCATGGATGCGGTCCCCAAGTTGTTTTCTCTGCCCTATCAGTTGCAGTAATGAAGTTCTATGCTGCTTGCTTCACTTAACAGCTAGTGGTTTTGCAATCTCTCGAAGAGTCTGCATGGTCACTTCTTCCCGTTTGCTACCATGTGGTGCTGATGGAGTAAAACCAAAGTCAGTATTCTGTATTAAACTTTTAACCCTAAAGAACCAAGTAAAGATTAAATATAAACAAAGAAATAGAAATGTATGTGAAATTTCTCAATGGGAAGAATCTGCTGCTCCTACCAAATGCCCTCATACTATACTGTTGACAAGATGGTCATTGAGACCAAAGCATGATGTCTCGAACCTCAACCCCATAGAGGTTACCGTATATCTCTTCTAGAAACTTGAAATGTGCAAGTCTAGAGAAAGGCTGGTATTGATTAAATGAGCTATTTTCCAAGTGAGAAAAAGTGCAGAGAAGATAAGGAAGTAAGACTAAGCAAGCTACATTCAAGACTTGAGGCTAAAAGATTTATTTCTTTTTTTAAGGCCAAACGGCTAGCTGCAGCTAGCCTTTTTTAAGGCCAGGAGATACGTTTGTTTGCAGCTAGCCTTATCTAAAGTTTGTAGCAAAGAAAAAAACAAATTGTTCCATTAATGCTCCTGTTCTGATTCAGATGACGTCTGCCTTGCTCCTTCCTCCTTTTCCTGTTATAAGCACTGGCACTATGTACTTCTATTAAATATGACTCGAAGCATTCAAGCTGAACTTTATCTATAAATAAAGTCTGCTTTCATCTTGGTGTTTCTTAGCACACTTCCTAATAATGTGGTGTACTGTATTTGAAGACGCACGGGAAGATTCTACACTCGACTGCCTCTCTGAAATATGCAGAGTTTCCAGAGGGGACCATAAAAGATACTTTTTATAATGTCTAATTTAATTTTAAGTACCTTTTGTTGTATATCATCTGGCAGATGTGTTAAGCATAATTTTGTGCCTGTTAATGGAAAGTTTCTCCTCAAAATAACCTAATAACCTGTAATTTGATGTCTTGTTGTGAAAATGAGACGATATGTGATTAACTGAACATCTACACTAATGTGTAATGGGACAAAATCTATGGATATATATATTGCACTTAAATTAGGTCTACCTGTCCTTATCTCTTACCGTTAGTCAATAATTAACAAAAAGTCCACACAACAGATGGCTATCGGTTCTTCTGCATGATGGTGGCGCAGCGGTATGTTGCACCTTCGGGATCAGACAAGTTTGAAAGTGAATTCTTTGGACGTCAAGGCCCAAAACAGTTCAATCGAAGCAATTGGAATAAAATGAAGAAGGAAGATAAAGACAAAATGCAAAAGAGAATGGAGGAAGCTCGTGAGAAGTTAAGCAAGTCTTTTGAACATCTACCAACTGAACTCTTCTTTGTCTTGCGGTGAACATAAAGATTTTCTTTAGTAAAATACCTCTCACTGACACCAGACAAAGGCAACGATGTTTTATGGAGTATTGCTATCATGAAGGGCATGACTCTTGTTCTTTGGCATTTGGTTGTATGTCTCTCTTTTTCTTGTCTGTGAGAAAGTATCGAGTAGTTATCCCTAGATAGTGCTTTCCTTTTTTCGCTTGTGTCTCTCTTGCTTATAATAATGTCTTTTGTGAAATGGTAAAATTCTGTTTTAATAATGTTGCTGAAAATGCTTCCATATTCTCCTGCATACAGACATAAATTTTGCTTTTATGTGACTTGCGTATTTCTTCTTTCTGAGCTAATGCCTCTTGAATGCTCCCTGAGCAGAGTCTGTATGGTGTACTCATGACTTGTATCATCTGACAGGCTCTCATTAACCTTGTGCCCCACTGTGACAAGGAACTTTTATAATTGTGGTGTAACAGTTCGGGAAGGGAGACAGGGATAATTCTCAAGTCACTGAGTGACTAGCTTGCGATAATACAGGAGGGATCAGAACCCTTAACACCACCTGCAAACGACAATTAGAAATGCAACGAAAACCAAGTCTTACTCCACTACCAACTAGTTAGTAATCTAACCATTATTTAGTAATCAAAGATTACCCTGACTGCCACCAGGTAGTACAATGGTAAAATACTCGCCTTGTAACTCGTGAGCTATTTGGTCTGAGTTTGAGTCCTGGTCAGGGAGGGTTAACCAGGCTCAAATCCTTAACTGTTTGTCCCTGTTCACCGAGCAGCAATTAGGTACCTGTTTGTTAACTGTTTAGCAGCATGTGTTCTAGGGAAAACTAGTGGGTAAGGCTTCCCAAGAACTATGATAAGGGCCTGCTAGTGATATCTCGGCTTGCTAACAGGAGTCGGGAGTCATTTGTTCCTGTATCCCACCTGTGGGGAAAAAAAATAGAAATAAGTCATCCATCACAATAGTGTGTGGAGAAGATGGCAACCCTCACTTTGTGCTTGATTTCCACGCATAAGATAATTTTTCCTGGTGCAATAACCACTCCATGTACTTAATGTCTGGATTTCCTTAGCATGTGCCGAGTACCTGCCTTCTGCGATTTAGTTTTCTCCTCGGGGTTGTGGTGTAGGGGTGTTATTTGTTTTTTTCATGATTTTCCTATATTTGAGCCTACTGGTAGGTGCTTGATAGTGTCTCCTCATAGTATAGAGTTGGATTTTGCTATTTGCAATTTTCCTGGGTGTGGTGGGGGTGTTTTTTGACCACTTTGCTCACTAACACTCAGAAAATCCTGTTTAAGGGTGCAAATTTTCACACTAATGTGTGTGTGACCAATGACAGATACGAATATCGATCCTACTGGAACTCTCTTTTTCTCATTGGTGCACATGATGCTGTGACTCGGTTGCAAGCATGTGTGCAGCACTGTTTTCAATAAGAATATTGGAAACGGCAGAGGCCTATTGGCCTATGTGAGGCAACCAGTATTTATACCCTAACTCGCTTGTATATATACTTCTAACCTACGCTTAAAACAATCCAGCAGTCCAACATTTACTGTTTCTCTGTAATATGTTGCATTATGATGGATTTGTGTTTTTGTAAATGTGCTTCAGGGGAATTGTGAAGATATTTCACACTAAAAAAATATAAAAATCCCTCGTGGAACAAATCGGCCTCATTCCATATAGTCCGTTCACACGGGGACATGCTGTATTTAAATCAACAATCTTATTTCAATACCAGTATTTACCCAGGTCTCTATCCATTGTTTTGTGTTTACATATTTGACACGTTATTAATCCTCAAAGAGAAGTTATTGTCATACGTCGATCCCCAGGGCAATATTGACTTTAGTTATCACCCAGTTTTTATGCAAATGGCATAAATATGGATATAATACACCTATGTGGATATAATGAAGTTATAATAATAATAATTCATTTTGTCGGGGGGACAGGAAGCCAGTGTGTAATCATACTCGTTAAGGCTTCAATCGAGTTCATCCTCCCCTAGTGTTAAAGAATAACATTAGATGTTTTAGTACAAATATGTCTAGATATGAATGATATTAGGTCTTTAGCTTATTTTGAACATTTGTACATTTGATTTCTGGGCTAGTAGTCAGAAAGTTTGCAATGTATTGGTTGTGGTAATAGAGACTGCCACAAATCTACTGGGCCTCTGGATATTCAGACCCACTAAACACCATGACCAGAATATAGTGTGTTCTTACACACTACAAGGTTCTTTCTAAGGTTATGAGGTTCTTTCCACCTCATAACAGGGTAAAACTGCACAGAAAGTACAGAATACAGGTGAAACAAAACAAACTATGTATTTTGATTAAACAAATTAGAGGTTGGCAAAAGCTGCAGGTTTCTAATGTTAAGAAATCACACAAGAATATCCCAGCATGCCACCAGATGGCAGCTCGGGTCACCCTAGGGTTATACCTGCCAATCCAGTTCACTCGTATTGCTGGTACCAAGCCATGAACGATGGAACTTTGATGTCCCATTGGAGGTCATGCTTAAGATTAATTTTTTGATTATGCTTCACTGTTGTGTATAGGCTCCCCATCTTGCCTGTCCTTGGCTGATAATTTGAGGTTTATGAACTAGTGACCCGTGTCAAATGATAATTTGCTTTTTCCTGCCAGTGGTTGAATCTATGCCTGGATGACATTCTGAAGCAGAATGGACAGAACAAAGGAGTGGGTTGCAAGTCACTTCCTTTGAGCTGTGCAATGAATATGCAATAGGTGTACATATTAAGTTGTAGGCCTATATACATTACTCAATCTCTGTTTTGTCAATTGTGTATATAAATAGTTAACACAATGAAGTGTTTGTGTTGAATAAGTAATGAGACAACGAACATAAAGTCAGTCACTGTACCCCTGTGCAGCTCTTGCATCTAGTGCCAAATGACACACTGACCCTGTCACCTGGCTACCTTCTACAGCTCACCAAACCAGAGTAGACATAGATAACTTTTGGCCTTTTTCTTACCTCAAACAGATGAGGTATCAATTTTGACAGCTGCATTTTGAAGGTAAAAATTTTAGTGTATCTTTTCAGCTTGTTTGCATCACCACTTCACCAGTCATCTTGATGCTGTTCATGTTTCAACATTGCTTAATAGGCTCAACCCAGCTAGTGTTTGCTGTGAGGTTTAACAATGTTGAATTCTCACCATTCTCTTTTTATAAGTCCTCAAATAATGACAGTGCTCTATCAAAAAACTTATAGACATTACCTAAACTTACTTGAGGGCCACATCTCTGCATGATCTTGAAGCTAACACTTAAACATTTCTTCATTAAAAAAAGTGTGCTTTTTGTATTTTTTTTTTAAACTCTCAATGGGGTCACACTTTTTGCACTTGATGTTTTATGTCAATGTTCTAAATAAATGTTGTGTCATGAGTACCAGTCTGATAGCAGAGGCAATCTGTGAAGACCAGTCTGAAATATCAGGCCAATTTAGCACTTGTATTTCCACATGTAAACTGATGATTTACCTGGCTTTGATTTCGGTACACCACCAACACTCGATGGATGCTTTACATGCATGTTTACTGGCATGTTGCTGAAGTTGTAGAGCCGTGATGCAGATACTATACAAGACTATCTGAACTGTCTTATAACATCTTGGCTGTTAATCCATCTACTACTAGAGCTTTTCTTTATTTTAATCTTATTGGCTGATCCTATTGAATCTTTTCTTCCCTTTCATCATTCACATTGATGGAGTTCAAGGTACATTTTGTATAGTATCAGTTGTCGTCATTATATCTTTTGAAAATAATTAATGCAACGTATTGATGTTGATTGGAGTGTCGGATGTTATTTGAATTTGCTGAGTAACATTTACTGTAACAAATCTAGGAATGATCACCAAGTATGAAGTCTTAAAGGCTACATAAAAATGAAGAAAACATATCTGACATTGAATGCAATTGTTGCACTGTTCCTACACTTGAAAGTTTAGAAATACAATATGCATGGGTTGGGAACTGAACATACATCAGAAAAAGTATGATTGATGTGATTGTTTTAAATATAAGACACAGTATAGTGTATAAATAGATAAGGTATATTTAGCGAATGACTTAGACGTTTGCCGTCGTGAATTTATTGATGTGAGGCCTTGTGAAATGCAAATGCAGACTTATCCACTGATGATCTTGACTGACTGAATTATTGACAAAAATTTTGTTCTACAGCTCCATACATAACATGGATTTGTTGGTTACTGTATTTTTATTTGCTATAAATGTGCTATTTTAATGTATTGTGGACTGACATTGGCCAACTGTGGTCTGTTTCAGCCTTGGACTACCAGTTATTTTGCATAGCTATTGCGCAGCGTTATGTCCCATCCACCGAAGGCTTTGCCCACGATGTGTTTAACCTGTTTTTTAATGAAAGGGGTCCAAATATAATGTCCCATGCCGACTTCAATAAACTATCGAAGGAAGAGAAAAGAAAATTACGAAGAGAGCTTTTTGATATTTATGATCGAACTCTAGAAGTCATCAAGGCAATTCCTAGCACTCTTTTGCTAATATTTAGGTACAGTATTCAATTATAATGGAATTGACTAGACTATGTAATCTGCATGGTTTGTATCTTTTTAAGTATCCTCATACATTGCTGTATGTAATTATTTAAAATTGCAGCCTGCAAAATGCTTTGGATAAATTTAACTCGTACAGTCATTTGAATTTATGTTTTCTGATAGGTCATTCCTTGTATTTTTGGGGATGGTCTGTGTTGTTCTTTATCAGATACTGTACTAACTTCATGTGTGTGCTCTATATATATTTGTGTGTGCACACACAAATATATAGAGCACACACAGATGCATGTGCATGTACACACACACACACACACACACACACACACACACACATTCTGCATTCACTTACAGGAAATTTGGTTTGACAATTCTAATGATTGTCAGAATATATAGTGTTGGTTTTCCTGCTTGTTAATATTGGTGAACATTATTCAGTATCTATCCACTCTGGTTAGAGCAGCTTTGTCAGAATGATACAAAAAGATAAAAAACAACAAAGTATGTATGCATTTGTAAATGCCGCATTTTGTGTGTTTTGTGCATTAATATAGATCTTGGCAGCCTTTACATTGTAAGTAATGGGTTGGTGGAGGTATGTGCAGGACCAGCATCAGTATTGGTGAGTGACTATAAACTGGCAGTCACTAATGTGTTTAAAGGAAGTGGTAGTGTCAACTTCTGTAATGTCAGGGTCACATTACAAGGTCACAGTGTCAGATATCTCAATGGGAATCATAATAGTAATAATATTGAGATGGTGCTAAAGTGATGAGTAACTAATGAGTATCCAGGAAGGAGCAAGGGAAGGTGTATACAAGAGGCAAAAGTATATACAAGGTATATATAGTATAATATATAGTGTGGTAGTCCTTCATACATAGTGCATGAAATATACTGAATCATTGGCAACAAGACCTCTAATGTTGTTCATCAGCTTTATCTTGCCTTTGTTAGGCCGTGTTTAGATCATGCCATTCAGTTTGGTCTCCATACTATAAAATGAATATCAATTCATTTGAATGCATACAGAAAAGGTTGATAACATTAATCCTAGAAATTAGAAATCTCTTCTACAAAAAAAAAAAGCTTGAAAGGTATAATAGTTATATTTAAAACCTTATTTATAAACACACAGTAGAACACTGGGACTTAGTTGGAAACTTAGTACCAGATGAGCCACAGAGATATTAGAAAGAATTTTTTCAGTGTCAGAGTAGTTAACAAATGGAATGCATTAAGTAGTGTTGTGGTGGAGGCAGACTCCTAACAGAGTTTCAAATGTAGATATGACAAGAGCCCAGTAGGCTCAGGAATCTGTACACCAGTTGATTGACAGTTGAGAGGCAAGACCAAAGAGCCAGAGCTCAACCCCCCCGCAAGCACAACTAGGCAAGTACAACAACAGATATAAAATTAGTATATTTAGATTGAGTAAAGATCTGGGTAAATCCTGGTTTGAAAACAAGGTTGTTGATTTACGGCACAAATTACTGGGTAACATAATAGACTGAATCATTGGATTGTTTCACGTGTATGTTAGGCATGTATATGAACAAGTTTGACTGGATATAAATACAATCTGCATTTGTATAGGCCAATAGGCCTACTTCAGTTTCCTTTATTCTTATATTCTTTAGTAGTACCTATGAGGAAGGAGAAAGGTGTACACATGGGATTGGCAGGAAAGATTGTGGGGTTGGAGGAATGCATACGATACAAGTGGGAGAAGTACATGGGGAGAGGTGTAGAGAGTATATTTGGGAAAGATGCCGTAAGGGCCAAGAACAGAAAATACTGGAAGACCGCATTTAAATATAGCAGCTGTTTTTTCTATTTTTTCAAAGGAGAGTTCCACCCCCTCCCCTCAACCCTTCAGGAAGAGGCATCAAATGTAAAAAGTTTTATTTTATGATTGTAAAATATTGGTGTATTAGACTAATTGTCTTATTCTTAGCATAATGTTTAGGCTTTCTAACTACAATGACAAGGAAAACACAACATTCCATTTAAATTATGCCAACTACTATAGCTTTTCTGAGAGGTTTCTTGAAGTACTACAGCTTAACACCTGGGGAGGATGGCAGCCCTGTGCTAAGGTTACTGGCTCCATATAGCTTTGGTTTTTGATATTCTGTAATGATGATGATTATCTTTTTTTATATAAATAAAAATGATTTTGAAATCTAGTACAATATTCATAGGTACAGATGGTAATTTATGTAAAGCTACTAATATGCAGTGTGTTTCAGGCACAACATAAATACGACATTTGTTTATAAAATGATTACAAATTTGTATGTATTATTTGATGAAAGGCATAGACTACTTAAATATAGAAAGTGTGGTTACAGCAACAGTACAGATATAGTATTAAATGTTTACAATAACGGTACAGCACTGGTTGACTTGTAGGACGAGAAAATGTGAGTCAAATTGGTTATATAATGTTAATTAGGTACTGTATTTCTTTGTCTTTTTAACTGGTTGCAAGAAGTACATTTTTTATCCTTAATTAATTGGGAGGTCATTCCATAGTTTAGGACCCATAATGTGCAAAACATTTTTGGTTTCGTTAAGCGTTTTGTTTCGTTATGACGAGTAGATACACAGAAATCACAATAACATGATATGTAAAATGTCGTAGTACAGTTGACCAAGGCGCATCTGGGAATACCCCTGTGCGTAGGTTTGAACCCTCATCACGGCACTTGTGGATTTGTTCACAAATAGATGTGCTATTTGTGTGTTGCCCATGAGTTCTGTTGCAGTCCTCTAGGAAGTATTTGAGGTCAGGATTAGAATTAGAGTTCAAAGTTTCATAGATACAGCGTACACTTGTGTGTGCAGTGATGATATTTAACATATTGAAGGTTTTCAGCAAGATGCTGAATGCTGTATGGAATTGGGTTTTATTTTTCTGATTTTCTCCTGTGATGCAAAATGAATATTATCAGTTGTCTGGAATTGTATCTATGTGGGTGCAATATATTTTAGTTTTGGAGGGAGACTTTAAATTCTTTTGGATAGGTTTAATTTTGTTAAAATGCAGTATTTGTTAGTAAAAAAAATTAATGCCATACAGACCATTTATTTAAAATAAATATCCTGAGCTACTATCTCTGAGCAGACTTGTAATCATAAACAAACTGATGCTTCTATACTAGACTTTTGTTTAGGAAAGATATCCAGGTGGGTAGTATATACACTACTGTACCAACATAATGAGAGGAGAGTGATTCTTAGAACTTTCTAAATAATGCCTAAGTAAAGGTAGTCAATAGGTTATGACCTTAGGTCCAAGAAGATTGACTTTACACTCTGGTATTATAATAAAGGCATTTCATTTCCTTTAACTTCCAGACTACTTGCTTTTTGCGGAAATGCTTATGCAGCACCCTGTTCAAGGTCAGAGTTTCCAGTTACTTAAAAATGTAATGAGTGCTGCTGACTTAGAGTACATGCAGGAGATGACAGCCGGCAGGTTCGATCAAATAAACAAGATTCTGCGGGAAATACCCAAGGAAATGTTGTTGATTATACGGTGAGCATTGTTAATTTCTTAACTGTCTTGATTTCTTGTATGCATGTGTGTGCATTTATGCTTATAAGAAATCAAAGACAATAGGAAATTAATTTTAAGTATTAGTGGCCACACTCAAGTTAGTTTTTTCTCAATACGTTTTGTAAAAAAATTATAATAGGCATCGAGTATATTTGAAAAGCACTTTCCTGAGCAGATTCACTTGCATGACCTCTAAGGTAAGATTATGCTGCCTATGGGGGAAACAAACCACGCACTTAGGTAGGTGACATTTTAGTTACTGGGCTATTGGAAACCTTTCAAGGTTCCTCGTAGGGTCGTACTAGAACTAGGTATGGAGCATTGAAGGAGATGATCCAACTGATGCATGATATGGAAAGTTGAAAACTTCAATATTGGCTGTTTTTAATCTTAAGTAGATTTAAGCAAGTTGAGTTTTGCTGGGTTCCCAGTCATGTTGGTATTTTCTTAAATGAGTGTGTGGACACTGCTACTAAGGAGGCTATCTACACTTGTCCTAGTTCCCCAAAAAGGCATTCCTTATTCCAATTTCTACCCAGTCACTCATTCCTCAATTCATGACCATTGGCAAGGTCATTGGTCTTGTGTTACTGGTAACAAACTGCTCATTCATAATGGTAGCCTGTCCCCTTAGCCTTCATCCTACCACCGTAGCCAACGGTAAGAAACAGCTCTGGCCGGGTTACATATTGGGCCATACACTTTTAACTCTGGCACTAAATGGAGCGGCGCCCTCCTCCTTATTGTCCAAACTGCATTGTCCCTCTTACGGTCGTGCATCTTGTAGAATGTCCTGATTTTTTTAGGAAGTTTGTGTCTCTTGCTTCCTGACTGTTCCTTGATAGAATCCTTAGTGAATCTGATACCTTTGATATCGCTCGCCATATGCACTTTGGTACTTTGGTTCTAATACAGTACAGTATTGGCATTCTTAATGATATTTAGCACCTTTTGAACATCCTGTGACTTTGGTGGTGCTACATGGTTTACACAGCTTGCCTTCTTTTAATAATTCCTTACTTGCTGACGTCCAGCTGAACGGTAGTATTCTGAGGTTTTCAGACGTGAAGAGCATCTCTGCTTTGATCAAAGTGCTGGCCATCCTTGGGTTTGTTTCTGTGGAGGTCATTTGGTTTATAATCTGGTTTATATTTTAGTTTTTGCTTCACCTGTGTTTTTTTTCTATTTGGCTTGTTGTGTGGGCTTAGCTTTGTTATGTTATGGCTGCATGCACTCTGGGTTCCTACTCGCCGGGGTTTTGGGGCGATTGTCCTCACAACCACTCGCCAACCCCTTCCTTTTCCTTCCCATGCTCTGAGACGGCTTTACCCCGGGGGTCTTCATGGTAGGCTTCTGGGGCTGAGGGTTTTCTCTTTGGAGGGTCTTTTGCTTCAGGGGAAATAACTTTAAATATTCCATTTACAAGTATGA